TTCTTTTGGGAGTGACGAAGACGAAGGAAAGGGAAAGGGGAGAAAGGAGGATGACGACGATGGAGCAGAAAAACATGGAGGAGTGGAAGAGAGCAAAGGGTTTGAGCCAGATGACCTTCCCCACAACAAGAAACGTAGGGCTAGGGAAGAACTGCCCAGAGATTCTTCTTGTCGAAATGAGGATCAGAATGATGGTAGCGAAAACAAGGAGGACACTGGTGAAAGTACTCCTAAACGAACTCGAGTACTAGGTAATAGCCTTGGTAGACGCGTGCATTTTTCGTCTGTTGCTGCTGTTTCTGTTTTTAATCCGAAGGATAGTTTAGCCTCCCCCATGCTGCCCCCTCACGGGGTCCCAGTTCATGGTAGATAGAAGTGTTTTGTGTTTTCAACCGCACTAAGACTGACGTCTTTCCATTGGTCAGCCGGTTAGCGCGGTCGATGCCAATAATAAAAAAACACACACACCCAACGTGTTCCACTCTTTTCCCCCGCTCTGCCTTTCAACTTTTAGATGGGCCTCCTCCGGGTCGCATGCACTATCGGCCTTCTGGCGCCCGTCGCTCGGAGCCAAGGACTTCAGGACTGCAGCCTCGATGCCAGCACTTTTATTATGGACACCACTGACCAGGCGACTCTCCTGGCGACCGCTCTCGGGTTTTTGGACGGCGGTCTCAGCGTTTGTTGGGTCGGGGAAGTCATCGTTGCAGACACAATCCGTGTCACTAATGGCAAATCCCTCAACATCACGGGCGCCGGACCGGGCGCGGTTGCGGATGGACAGAACGTCACGCAACTGTTCTACGTGGACGGGGGTTCTAGGCTGCACCTCTCGGGCATGGCCATCGCCCACGGCAGCGCCGCCTACGGTGGGGCCATCTTCGCGTCACGGTCGGATGTATCCTTCAGCGGAAATACGTCGTTCGTCTCCAACTCCGCTTCTATCTGGGGGGGTGCAATCTTCGCAGAGGCATCAACCGTGTCCTGGGATGGCGACGGCACAAAGTTCAGCTCCAACTCCGCTGTTGAAAGCGGGGGTGCCATCTTCGCGATTGACAGTTCGAACGTATCCTGGGATGGGGACGACGCCCACTTCAGCTCCAACTCCGCCGGCGAGTGGGGAGGTGCAATCTTCGTAGAGGCATCAACCATGTCCTGGGATGGCGACGGTACCCAGTTCAGCTCCAACTCCGCCGTCTTCCAAGGAGGTGCAATCCACGCGCAGTTTGGTTCAACCGTGTCCTGGGATGGCGACGGCGCCCGCCTTAACTCCAACTCTGCTGGCTCCGGGGGCGCAATCTTCGCGTTTGATTCGACCCTGTCCTGGCAGGGCGATGGCACCCAGTTCATCTCCAACTCGGCGATAGACGATGGAGGCGCCGTCTCCACGTGGTTTTCTTCGGTCGTGTCTTGGAACGGAACGGCCACTTTCGAAAACAACGAGGCAGGGGTGAACGGCGGCGGGCTACATGCGAACGGGTGCGATTCAACCTCCGATTCGGGGGGTGAAGTAGGAGAGGCGGCCGGCGCAACCTTCATCAATAATAGGGCGAATTTCGGAGGAGCGCTGTACTTGTCGACCTGCGAGAACGCCTTCAACTTCGCGCAGTTCGTTTTTGAAAATAACTCGGCTCTTGACGGAGGAGCGGTCGCCGTGTACCAGAGCGGAAGCGAGACGTTTGGCCTCCCTGTGGTGTTCTTCGAGTGCACTTTCTTGGACAACGTGGCGAGCGGAAATGGAGGAGCTGTTGAGACCTTGGCTGGACAGCAACAGTTTATTTCGTGCGATTTCGAGGGCAACTCAGCAGGTGAAGAGAAGCAAACCACCTGAAGGCCACTCCTGTTCTACCGATGGCCGCAGTTTTTGCGCACATTTGGATATTTTGAGGCAGTGAATCACTTTGCCAATTTTTCGCTGCACTGGTTTTCCTTGGGTATACGTAACACCTGCCCCACTCTGTTTTCCCCCCATCCTAACTGCTTTGTTTGTTGGCAGATGTCGGCGGAGCCATGAGACTCGGCGGTTCGGCAGTCGTTCGCGAGTGCTCCTTCCTGTCCAACCGCGCTAGCACCCGTGGCCTCGCTGTGGCTGTCGTTGGGTGGTTCACAAATATAACCGGCTCGTCGTTCGACGGAAACGATTTGACCTGTGCGGTTGGCTCGTATCGAAACGACACGGAAGAGGTAAATTGGAGAGGCTTTCGGTCTATAATAGTCTCTCTTTATGCCGTTCGCCGGTGGCGGTTTGCCCATACGTGTTTGTCTGCTTTGTGCATTTCGTCTTCTGGGTACGTACATGCCTCTCTACTCGTGTAATGCTCTTGAACCAGCCTGAGGGGCTTCGGCTGCGGCGTATGTCCTGAACCACCCCGCCCAAACTCTAGGTTTGCTGAAAGAAGAACCGCTTCCGGACGGAGGGTACGTAGGCGGTCGACGCGACAACACCTGCTTGACTTTTCCGCTTGAAACGCAGGAAGGGGCCACTGCGCGCTTTGGGACGGTGTGCTTCGACTGTCCTCCCTGGGACGACAGCGCCGGGAATGATATCACGAGGGGTACCGTCACGCCGGAATGTGCGGCGCCATTGGAACACAGTTCCGCCGATGCGGTTGGCGCCACCTTGGAAACGCTCAGTATCGACAAAGGCTACTGGCGCGCAACCAACGAAAGCGACAGGATCCTGGCATGCTACAACGCGGATGCTTGCAGCGGGGGACAAACAGGGTCGGAAAGCTTCTGTGCCTCCGGGTACATGGGACCATGTGAGGCGGGTGTAATATCTTAATAGTCCGCGCTTGCCAATGTGTTTGTTTTGAGCGCGACTGCACGTTCATTCGCCTTTCGCTTTTGTTGCCCTTGGAGGATGGTTTTGTGACGCGCTTCTGAACACTCCCCAGCCCTTATTTTGCCCTCGTTATCGCGTGCGTGCGTGCGTGCGTTCACGCGTTCCCGCGATACATGTGCAACAGACTGCGCCGTGTGCGAACCCCGGCATTCTTCATCGCTCGCTCACAACTGCACGCGTTGCTCGGGCTCGAGGCGCCAGGGACTCCTGGCCGCCACTGTCATCGCCGCGATTGCCGCAGTCTTGGCGATTGCGGCAGTCTCCCGATACCTGTTGTCGACGGAGCATGATGAAGAAGGGAACGCAGAGTGGTTCCATCGGAGGGTAGTCCGGGCCGTTCCTTTCCAGGCGCTGAAGATCATCGTCGTCGTGTGGCAGATCTTAACCCAGGTTAGTTCGTTCGCGGTCGCCGGGCTGTTTTGCTGATGAAGGAGCGGTGCTCATTTTAGGAAAGAATACGCTCGGTGTACATACATAGACTATATCTAGCGGAAGATGTGCATACACCTACACGAGACTGGTACAAGAATATAGCACCGTCCGAAGCAGAAGGCCCTGGAAATTGTGTCGGGGACCTACTCGTCCCAACCCAACCAAACCTACATATTTCGTGCCACCTCCCTGATCCCCGCGCAGTTTGCTGACGCGGCCAACGTCAGCTACCCTGGCGTGTACCAAGACTTTCTGAGCGCTATCGATGTGATCAACTTCGACCTCGGCTCCTTGCTCGCGGCCGGGTGCGTGTGGTCCGAGATCGACTTTCACCACCGGCTGCTCGTCAGCACGCTGGGGCCGTTGATTGTTGTTGCATTCCTGGCGATGACATACCGGATCGCGATGCATAGGAGCAGCAGCAGAGCCGACCACCACTCTGCGGCAGAGAAGATCCGCCACAAACATCAGGCGGCCCTCCTGCTCCTCACGTTCCTGGTGTACTCGTCGGTGTCGTCAACGGTGTTCCAAACCTTCGCCTGCGAAACGCTCGACGACGGCGTCGAGTATCTCCGGGCGGACTACCGCATTAACTGCAAGGATGCCGCCCACGAGGCGTTTGAGGTGTTTGCAGGGTTCATGATCTTTGTCTACCCCGTAGGGATCCCCCTGCTGTACGCTGTCCTGTTGTTCCAACGTCGCGACGTACTGGCCGATGCTGGCGATGATGACAAGGCGACGGCTAAGTCGATTTCCGGCCTGTGGGAGCCGTACAGGCCGGAGCGGTTCTACTACGAGGTTGTCGAGTGCGGGCGTCGTGTCATGCTGACAGGCGTGGTCGTTTTCATATTTCCGAACGATGCTGCCCAGATCGCGATAACTCTGCTGAGCGCCTTCTGTTTCTTCGCGATTTTTGAGATGGTGTCGCCGTACAAGTCCGATTCCGACATGTGGCTTTCGCGTGGGGGTCACGTGATAGTTTTCTTCAGCATGTTCGACTTGTTGCTGCGCAAGGTGGATGTGTCTGACGAGAGAGAAGAGAGCCAGGCTGTATTTGCTGGAGTGTTGGTGGCGGGTCACGTGCTGATGGTTCTCGCCATCGTTGTCGAGGTGGTTGGCATCTGCTACGGGTCCAGGGGGGAGCGAGTTGCCAAAGGTACGGCGGTGTTGTCCGAGAGGCCGCGCGCAGGATCAGATGATGGTGTGACTGGATTTGAAAGCGTTCCTGCATCGTGGACGTCGTCCTTTAGGCGACAAGGGTCGGTGTCAGAAAAGCCCGGACCGAACAGAATCGTCGCTGGGGAGGTAGTCACGGTGGAAAGGCCGTAGAAGAGCTGCAACTTTGCCTTTTTTTTATTGGTGTGGGTATTCTTGTTATGTTCTCTCTGGCTTGACAGTTGTTGTATGTATTGTGTGTCGCAAGCCGGAACAACAGCAGTGGCTTCGCGGTTTGCAACGGGAAGAAGAGCAGTTGCGGCGAAAGATTTTCTTTGAGCGTTTGTTTGTGATATTCAAAGCAATATATTGCTGGTTAGTAAGCACGTCTCGTTTCTGCTGCGTCGGTGCGCCTTGCCTCCGCAACTATGTAGTGTCTGCGGCGTGTTTTACAGACCCCGATTCCAAACCCGGAGTGCGCTGGCTCCGAAACTGTGTCTGTCCGGTACAGTTTTACCTTTTTCTCAGCGCAGGTATTTTTAGTCGTCGATGGACGCGGGGGCGGCTGTTCAACCGTTACAATAATACCAGTGTCTCGGTCCGCTCAACCCTCGGTTTGAAACGAAGAGTTGTGCGTGTTGAGGCGGCTTTATTTTCGGGTAGTATTTTTTTAAAGAAAAGCAGAAAATCAAAAATGGAACCTAACCCACATTGGAGACGGGATTTTTATTTTTCATTTTTCATTTTCAACGCCACCAGAATCTCATGGATCAAGGGAATTCTGTGTTGGTGTGAACGCCAAACGATGCTCCGGGCGTGGCGTTGATGTGGTGGGTGGGTGCGTCCATCAGCGGGTAATAATTCCACGAGTTAGTGTTGAAGGAAGGAGGCTTTAGCGGTGGCCGCGGTGCATGGTTGTTATCCAGCGATAGAAGAAGTCATTGTCTCGAGCGATTACCCAGACGGAGATTTCATTTGAGTTTCCCTCCATAATTTTATTTGCCCGTTTTATGTTTATTTAAACTTGGCAATTTCAAATCGCCCGTTTTGATGTAAATATGCAGCCATTTCAATCAAATTGCCCGCTTGAACTTTGCTCTTTTTGAATTTGCCAGCCTCGTGATTTTGGACGAGCGAAGCAAGATGCGTTGTTGATTTATGCAAAGCGTTTCACTTGAACTCAAGAGGGGATCCCGCCACGGGAACAGAAGGGAGCAGGTGCAATCGCCGGATAATTCCCCCAGGGCCCCCAGAGGGAGGGAATCTCTTCTTTTATTTTGGCATGCACCACCTCCGGGGGGTACTCAATAACTCATGCTCCCAGGACATAAAAACGGCTGGTCTCCAACTGCATGTTCATGTGTCCGCAAAATTGGCGCCAGGGGGGTAGGCCACGGGTATCCATACGAAAAACAACGAGCGGCGTGTAACTGTCGAACTCTCTCGTAGACCTCGTGGTTCGGATCCCCACCACTGCCAATGGGAGGCGAACACCCCACCCCCCCCTCCATTTCCTTCTTTTCGACCACATTTTATCCCACCGTCTTTTCAATACATCATGTGTGCTCATTCTATAGTCAATACATACGTGCGGGCAGATACATGAACTTCTTTGTAGATAAATTGATGCGGCCGTTTCTTTCTTTTTTCTATTCTCACTTTCGCGCCCACATTCCTTCACCATCTCATGTGTTCGTTCTTGCATTACTTCGGCGACATATGACACCAACCAGCCAGCCTACACAACGGAAGACGCATCATCGCCAAAAAAAACGGGGGGCGGGTCTGAAAAGGCGCGTGGATTGGAACGTTTGGCACACACAAACAACTGCACTGAACGCAAACAAACGCGCAAGAGTACCAGCACATCCCACTACAACCGTAGGCGGAAACGGTCTGCCAACGAAGCGCTTGGTCTTGGCCACGGCACAAGGTGGATAGATAGATACATCCCGATGGCACGGACTAACCTGATCATCTGTGTGAAGCTCTGCTTTGAACCAATCCGCCCCCTCCTCCTAATTTCGTACTCCATGAGCATGAATCAGTACCGGAGAGGAGAGGATTTCGAAATGAGATTGTTGACGTACGAAGTATTTTTGAAATATTATACGATGTTCATGTTTGTTTATGACCAATCATCGTTGTGTGTTTTTACGTGTGATTCTACAAATTGTCAGATGGCAAGTGATATAATAATAAAAAAAATATATATATACATCTGTGTCGTTCTGCGTGTAAGATTCGACCGACTCTTTCCGAAACCTGTTCCCGAGCCAAAGCTGAAACACGAATCACTGAGCAAGTACAGAAGGAATTTTCTCCGAAGACGTGGCATCGCCCCGAGTTCACAAACACGAAATAATCAACCGCGCGCCACCACAACACACCCACTTTCATAAATACTGGTAGAAAGCCTTGTCTAGTTTTCACCACAATATGGTACATTAGTTTGCCCCCACCCACCCGCCCGAGAACGGAGGCAACAGCAGCAGTGGGGGAGACATTTCCACAAGAAACCGTGCACAAAAAAACTCTGTACATCACCACTTGACACGAAAACGCTTGCAAAAGCAAAAGCAAAGCAATGTGCTACTTCGGACGACAATCTAGCTGACACCGCGCCGCAGAGAGCCTCGACCAACGCACGTCTAGAACAACGTCTGTCACTGACCAGTGAAAACAAATGACAAGAGTCAGCTCCTTCGAAAACTAGCCCGTGTGTCTGGTTCCCTGCCAACGAGTGGTAGGTGCTAAATGCACACCGACATCGCACCCTTGAGACTCCCAAGTCGAGAGAGCCAACAATGCAGCACCGATACACGAGTCGCAAAAACCCTCATGCCGCGACTATTCATGGCCACCACCTGCGAAAGTCCAAAGAAACACGAAACGTTGCTGGGCCATTGAAGTACTACGTAGCGAGCTCGGTGCCACAAACAACGCCGCCGAAGCAGAGGGGCAACCCACCCACCCCTCCCGAGAAAATTCAAACACCGGCAACGACGCCCAAAACCATGCCGCGCAGAAAGCCAGCAGCGAGTTTGCTACCGGCCTTTTATATTCCGCAACCTCTTTGCTTTTTTTCCCCGGCACCAAGAAGGGCGGCAAGCGCGCGCGCACATCCTCAAAACACGAACGGTAAATCAAGCCCTGGAGCCGGGGCGGTTGCTGTTGGCCTTGCCACCAGCACCAGCAGCAGTTCTGATCTGCTTCCCGCTTCCGCGGACGGGGTAGTCCATTGGCACCGGCGAGCGATGGCGAGGAGACTGGTCCACCGGTCTCACGGCTGAATCGGCGAGAGGGTGGGCGGATGGACAAAGGAAGAAGAAGAGTAAAAGGCCACTTGTTACGCTGTCTCTTTTTGGGCTGTCCCTTTTCTCAAAAAGGGACAACTGACCAAAAACCACTTGTTACGTGGTCTTTTTTTGCGTTTTTGAACCTCCCGAAAAGGGACAGCGAAAAAAGATCACCCCATCCTGTCCCTTTTTGGGCAACTTTGTCCCTTTTTGAGAAAAGGGACCGCCCAAAAAGAGACAGCGTAACAAGTGGCCTATTATATATATACCTCCTTCTGTCTCAATCTCTCCGTACTAATCCAGCACTTGACTCGGTCAATTTCTGTGGTCACAGGCTAACGTACCTAGAAAAGGTATACCAAAATAAAATGGACCCCAAGGGTTAGCAGAGCGATAAAATACAAGAAAACAAAAGAATCAGAAACAAATAAATAAATATATAGTGGAACGTGCGCACCACAGTAAGGAAAAAAGAAAATGAACAAGAGCGAGGACAAAAAGGGACCAAGTCCAAAAAAATAAGAAATAAGAGACAGGAAAAGGCACACGGTGGATAGACCACTAACGAACAAGCAAACACATCTATGGCCACCGACCAGCGATACATTGTAATGGTATGTCATCACTAGTGTGTGGTTGGTGCAATGGTGCAACGTTGGGGGGGGGGGAATTGGCTTTAAGCAACTCAATCCGGCACGTATCGCGCCACTCGATCCGTCTCTTCTCGTTTGCTTCCTTCCCTCGCCGTCTCGTCCGTGCATGCATGCATGCGATGCATTCTCCCAACGTACCTAACTTCTTCTTCTTCATATCTACTGCAACATTGCCTTGACCTGGAACCGACATGGAGGTCGGGTACCCCCCCCGTCCCCCCTCCGCCCCCCAATTTTTCGACAACAACGAGAGGGACGAGGGTGCCAGAGCTAACAGATAGGTACTTTCACCGGTACTACTGTACTACTGTAGATCTTCTTGTCGGTGTCATTCGTGTCTACATGTTGAGGACGAACAACTAACTGTAGCTCCCGTCCCTGCTGCCGACAAATAGGGCGGGGACATAGATTCACCTCTTCCCTCGTAAAAGTACTCAGGATCAGCCAATGCTATTGCAGATACTGTAGTTGCAGCTCATACGTTCAGGTTCCACACACTGACGTCAATCACACTACGGAGGGAGCCTGGGGCTCATGTGGCACCCCTACCAAAACCGGAGAGGGCGGTGATGAACAACCCCGCCCATTCCCTGCCCCCTTGCCGCATGCCGAAACTCCGCTGGAAGATCCGCTACTGACAACGACGAAACCACCCCCAGCCGCCCCCCCCGCCGCCCCGATATCTCGCTCGGTTAGCTGCTCGAGGCTCGACCTATTGGCCGCCGCCGCTCTGCCCGCTTGTGTCATGAATGTGGGGCTCTTGCTGTTGCTGCTTCCTGCGTCTTGTAACGACCGTGCATGGTCGTTGTCGCTTTGGCTGGCGGCGCTGCCATGGACGGAAGGAGGGAAGGCAGCTGCGCTGGCTGCTTCGAGTGGGTGCTCCGGAGTAGCATCCACATAGCCCTGTACAACAGGCAAGATGGGGTGAGATGAACAGGCAGCAGTTAAAAAGGCAAGAGTCTCACCTCCCCCGCGTGTTGGGACTCCTTTCAATGGCCACTGCAGCCAGACTTTCGTCCCTAACCACCATGCAACAAACTTGTCGCGGAGGTAGTAAGGTGAAGAGGTTTTACGCATCTCGAGTGATTTCCAGACCAAGGAACTACGTACCGCAAACCGTACGATGTCTTCACACCTAGACCACGAGTACATACCTGCACGTTGTTGATTTTGGCAAACAGAAGACGAAGCACCCTCTCCTTGTCCTCCCAGGTCAGGCTGG